TTAACCCTTAAGTGTACATGCAACCTATTCGGATCAAATTTTTCTCTATTGAAAGCAATAAACAATTGAACATCAAGAACCCTAAGTAAAACCTACTATAATCGAAAAGTACATGGAATTAGGGTTTACATATCTTTTGATTATTATATTAAATAATCAAAGTAATTCCTTTCTTCTGATCTCTTGGAAAGCTAGCACCAGAAATCCAATGCCTCTAATGGTTTGTAACAAAACCTAGCAATAAAAGACTTGAGAGGATAGAGGAAAGGGGATGAGATTTTCGACTGTGCTTCTAAAAATTAAAGTGGCAGAAAATCATAGGCTAAAGTTCTTATTTATAGTTGATTGGAAAACCCTGATAACCCTAATTTGAAATAAAATAATATTATTTCAAATCTTGACTTATCTAGTCTCCTTATTATCCACATTATCCACATGGAATAATCTACAAACCCTAAGGATCAACCAAATCCCGGCCAACCCTATGAATATTCTAGAATCCTTCTCTTGTTCAACTATTGAACAATTATAGATTAGGTCCTTGCACTTTTAATTAATCCAATTAATCTCATAATTAATTCTAATTAATTTTTTAATTAATTATCAGCCAAATAATACTATTCCTAATTAATATATTAATCTCACAATATATTAACAAATTATTTATTACTTTTTATTAATCATATAATAAACCAATAAATCAACATCTCTTTTTAAAATTCATTCTATCAATTATTAGGTTTGAGGGTAACCAAAAAAGAAATTTGCTTTTAAATAAAGTATATACCAATTTAGTTATTGGCTTAGACACCTAATCCAATAGTTGGGGCAGCGATTGGGGATCTATCCCGTTAAGGATGTCGATCATCATTTTTTGGAGTTGTATTTAGACAGTTGTATTCTCTCGGGGCTAAGGGAGTACAACCACGTGGAGATCTGGGCTTTTGCCAATGGGGATTATGTTTCTAGGAAAGCTAAGGAGAGAAGCTTTATATCTCATATCCATAGATTGATTCACCGCTTGATTGCCGCCACCATTCATCATCGTTAGGGCACAATAAGGTTCCCGTAGGCGGTCTATTTCCTATGTTGTGCATGCTTTGCACTGATGTCCACTTTCACATTCCTTACACCATAGCATCCTTCATATCCTCTAGTCTAGCTTCGGGTGCTCAGCCACCGAGCAGGATTTTCAATGGTCACTTTATTAACCTATTGGCTCAGTTATATGGGGTTGATACTCATGGGATGACTCATTATCCTATCATGGACTTGGATGAGGGGGCCCTAAAGAGGATACTGGTGAATATGCATGAAGCGGATCAAATTTGGAGGATCTCACCTGATGATATATATATGTATATATGTATATATATAATATAATATTTATCTCATATAAATACAATGAAGAATAACTACATGTCCGGCCAGTGGAGGCTTCACACAAGTGGTTAGATGAGGCACATTCATCTCCTAGCTGAAAGACCTTCAGCTATCCACCGACCTATAATCTTGAAATCTTAAGTGATCGGGAAAGATATGTATATCAAGTTAAAGTGTTTTGTGTATCCAAGTATTTATGCAGAGTAACTGCTAGGTACTAAGCTTATCCAAAGGTTGGCTATAATAATGACTAGAGTATCGTCGTTTGCTTTGGTCAACGTAACAATGAGGTATGATATTTTCTATGAGTGTGATTCAGTATAACAACTAGGCATAATATTATCCTTAAAAGTTAGGCGGAGTATCAACCGGACATAATATCATCCTAATGTTATAAGCAAAATAATCTAACTAATATTATACGATTAGTAACTATGAAATATTTGTGTTTTAACATGTATTCCCCCAAAAAGTTTTAGAAAATAGGGTTGTGAACTTAGTTGTGAAGCGTGAAATCATTGATGCGAGGTAAAATTTGGGAGTACGAAACTCGAGAGGATCTCGGGAGTGGCAAGGAAATTGAGAGACAGCGAGGTGTATTTTGAGGTGTGAGGAAGATCAGCCGAAACTTGCTATGTATAGAGGATTTTAGGATGCACATCGTGCAGTACGCATCATGAAATTTACGCATGAAGCACCCAGATGTTGACATGTGTCCTCTTCTCATGGTGCCATGTCATACGTATCATGACTGTAACATCCCAAATTTCAAGTCCAAAAATTTTAGTTTTAATATAACGAATTGGAAAACATTTATCAGAAAACATCATCAATTCATATCATTTGTAAACCATAATCTCGTGTCTGAAAGTCATATCATAAAAGTAGTAACATTGTCAGAGTACAATCCCAAGAAAGCTCGTAATGCGTAAATCCAATGTGTGTGTATGATGTGCAGCTACCACGCCGGCTCTTTCCCCTTTGCTGAAGAGGTACCTGAAACAAAACTGAAAAATGTAAGCACAAAGCTTAGTGAGTTCCCCCATCATACCACATACCATACAATCATATAGCATACATACTGTCGGCAATTCTGGGGTGCCCGACCTACCCGGTACGGCCATTATGGGGTGCCAACCTACTCGTGTCAAGCCATTCTGGGATGCTGACCTATCCATGTCAAGTCGTTATGGGGTGATGACCTACCCTTCAGTCCTAACAACCGAACCTCAGGGACTATTCCACCCATACTGCTACTAGTACATATATCATAACATAAACATAATGTTAGACATATCTAGGGTGTCCGACCTACCCTTCGGTCCTAACAACCGAACATGGGGACTATTCCCCTCCTACTCCCACTATCACTTATAACATATCATGCCAGCATATAATATATCACGTAGTAGCAAACCTACATGAATATCAAAAAGACAATCATCTAACATACAACTCCTGCTAGTGGGTCAACATTGTGGTCGTAGACCCACCGCTACTGGAAGGTAACTCACCTCGTATGAATGAATGTTCTCAATCCGACTGAGAAGTCTCTGTCTGCTGCTCCAGCGATTCTCCAGATATAATTCCCATAAAGACACTTAGTCAGAAGCTGATAACTACTCTTAGGGTAAAATGACTATTTTTCCCCCTACCAAAGTTAATATCCTAGTCAAAGTCAACTTCCAATTGACCTGACTCACCGAGTTAGGCCTCCAACTCACCGAGTCCCTATTCTTTCATCTGACCTCCTCCTGACTTTACTTGTCGAGTTTAGCAAAGACTCGATGAGTTCTCCTTCTATAATATCACGAATGAACCTTCATCCGACTCGCCGAGTTGTATGAACAACTCGTCGAGTTCACCTTCATTCTATGAATCATGTCCAGTCTGCGACTCGCCGAGTTGTATGAACAACTCGTCGAGTCCATCTTCAAAGGGTTGGTAGATTTCCTTGGACTCGCCGAGTCTGTTCATACACTCATCGGGTCCTATGATTCCCAGGTCCATGGCTAAGTCTAATATGTTGAGTCACTCCCCTGGACCCCTCTAAGACCCTTCTAACACTCAACTGGGTTCCTTTGAACCTCAATTTGTCTGGGGACTCAAGCCCTGGACTTTTCGAGTTCCAAGAACAACTCGACGATTCGGGGTTGTCCAAGTCTTATATCTCGATTTCTGATGTACAACATTCATCCAAAAGATAGATCTGGGCTTCTAATACCAATCTAGCACGTAAAGTTCACTGCTAGAAAAATAGCCTTTTACGACGCGCAAACCACGACACTCACTGATTTACATTATGTAAAAGAGAGTGACATTAAAAAAGTGTCATCTCTTCAAAAAGTTTAACGATTTAGGTCGCGTATTACTGCGTGCCCTTAAATAAGTGTGTAATCCAAAAAAAAAACATGGAGGGCACCTATTATAAAATAGGCGTCGTCTATGGATGTCGCTTTATAAATTTTAATGGAACGCGCGTTCCATCCCTTAATAACCAGGGGGAAAATGAAATCCTAAAAAATTAAAAACACTGCCTTCCTTTTTTCTCCTTTCCCTCTTGCCCTAATTATCGATGCTCAAATGAAAAGGAACGACTACGATGCAAAGTTGAAATTGGCCAGAGAATACAGTCTACGATGCAAAGTTGAAAAGGAACGACTCAGCAAAATCCGTAATGATGTGAGAATGCTTCTAACTCTTGAGGACAAAGATCCATGAAGAATCTTCGAAGGCAAAGCTCTCATGAGGAGGATGCACATGTATGGTTTTCTGGATGAACGTTCTTGCCCTCACTGTTCAAAACTTCATTGAACATCGTCTTCCAACCCTCGTCTTCATTGAACAGATTATTTATCTTATCAAAAAATCACAGGGGCCATTATCTAGGGCTTTTTTCAAGGAGTGCTCTTTGCAACATTCTCTACCTCAACTCTCCTCACCTGCAATCGACCTCAACTCACCTCTTTCCACCAGAGACCTTAGGCTCACCTCACCTCACTGGAGACTGGAACGACTGCTCAAGTTTCCAAGCCCTAGGGCTGATTAAGGTATGTTTATCATGATCTCGACACATCTCAACAACATCACTACAACTCATTCTCAGTCATCGACTTACTCTTCTAACTAATGTTCTCCGTATCGCCTACTTCTTGCCTTCCCATGGTTCACTAATCAGATCCGATTTACCAAACACGACTCCATGTGAGTTCTTCCCTTTGTGTTGTATCTGAAGAAATTAAAAAAGTTTATGATCAATGTTTATGAGAATTACTTGATTTACCTGATTGAAATCACTCTCCATAGAAAAATGATTTTAGCACAAAAAAAGTGAATTTGGAAATTTTTGCTTCAACAACCAATTGATGAGCATTTCGATTCTTCTGTGTAGAATCAGATATGAGGCAGCTTTTCATTTCAGGTGTATCGCGTTTTTAGTCTTTATTAGGTCAAATGATTCACATTTTGGTTTGATTAGCAAAGTAGGATCTTTAGTACACAAAATGGCGAACCAACTATGAACAATTCATTAATCTTTTTAACGTAAATAATTCACGTTGTTTTTTAGGGATCTTTGAGGCTACTTACTGATATCTTGTATCCTATGTTGAAAAAAGATGGAATTGGACATGCCTCTTGATTACGCATCATTCCAACTCTCACCAAAACATTCAAGGTAACTTCAATTTTTAATACTTAATAGTACAATTTGTTTTGATGATTTTGTCTAACTGCATTTAATCCTTTTATCCACCTTTTGTGCAGATGTGAATTGATTGTTCCAGTATTGGAAACACTGAAAAGCTTGCATCGGGTTTAGTGAAGCCAATTTTGACACATTTGAAGGTTGTGGAGGAACAAGTTGGATCCTCAGCTCAATTCATTAAGCTTGAAGTAAATAAACGTAAAAATGTGGACTCATGGTGCACAAAGGGAACACTTGAGAGGTAGTGTCGTTATCAAAATTTAAAGCTTATACGTTTGAAATTTGGATATAATCATATAATTGATAGCTTTTGTCATTAGGTTTGTTCGTTTTGTAAGTACACCTAAAATTGTTGAACTAGTGATCACCTTTGATGCTGAGATGTCTCAACTAGAAGCAGCTCGTAAAATATATTTCACATGTATGTGGTTTTAATTTTTAAACTATGTATAATTGTTCATATACATATATAATTAAGGGTGTTCATTTAACTAAAGGTTTCATGTTATTTCAGGGATCATCTGATCAACCATCGAGTAACATAGGTGATGGTAGATCAAGCACAACAACTAGGGCTGATGCAATAAAGTATAGTTAAATTTTATTGAATGTGCTATCTTTTTTTGGTTTTGTTGCAGTCTGTGTTGACTGTTGAGTTGACTATTCGTTTCCTTTTTTACAGGAAGGAGCTTTTGAGGGAAATTGATGTAAGGCTGATAGCTGTGAAGCAGGATTTGAATACAGCTTGTGCTCGTGCCACTGCTGCTAGTTTTAACCATGACCCAGTAGCTAACCTCCAGTTGTTTGCAGAGAGATTTGGTGCCACTCGCCTAAAGTAAGAAATTTTTCTTCCATTTTTATCTTGTTTATTGTGTCATTTTTTATCTTTAATTGTATCTATCTTCCACTTTCTAATAACAATACTCATTCTATCTTCTACAGGATCTTCGCAAATAAGGTGGTGTTCTTTGATTGGTTCAAGATGAAACTTCCTCAATGCAAAGACTCTCATCTTATGGTGGTGGTTTCTAGGCTAAACTCAAAGATTTTATCTATTGTAAGTTCTTATTGTAAACCACGATCTTATGTTAACTTTATTAAAGGATTTTTTTTCATTAATAGCTTTAAATCCTCTTTCTTCAGATGCTACAACTTTGTGAAGTCGAAATCATCTCTTTTTTTTGCTGCAAGCACAACTGAAGGCTTAGTTTTAGCTAAGTATACTATATCTGAGGTTTAAAAATGAGGTTTATTTAAGACATTATCATAATAATTATCAAATTAGTTTGCATGATGTTTATATTCGTGCAGGAATTAGGTATTAACAAGATACTAATTGTTGATTGGGATGTTTTATCCTTGTGGTGATGATAGATCATATGACATGAAGGGTGAGGGAGAAGGTGAAGGGTACAATATAAATGTTCCATGGGAGATGGAAAATGTGGTTATGCAGATTATATTGCAGCATGGGACCATATACCAATCCATGTTGCAAGAGAATTTAAACCTGATATAATTCTAGTTTCAGTAGGATTTGATGCAGGTCAGTTCTACTTCTACTAACTCTCGGTGTTCATAAAGTTATGTTTTTTGGACTATAATTTTTCATTTTTGTATTTTTAAACAGCTATTGGTGATCCTCTTGGAGGCTGTTGTAGTACACCGATCCCTGTTGTATTTTTAAACAACTATGGGAGGTTCCAGAAGAGGAATTTAAAACTGTGATAGATACTAATCTAAAAGGAGTAGAAAATATGTTACGTCACTTCATTCCTCTTATGATTGAGAAAAAACAAGGGATTCTTGTTAATATGTCGTCTGGGTGGGGAAGATCTGCTGCAGCACAGGTAAAAATTGAAACCAATAAAACATTTTTTTCATATTAAGTCTTTCTGTCTGGATAAAGTGTTGTATACACAAAGTCTTTCTTTACTAGACTAAATAAACCATATGAATCATACTAATAAACCATATGAATCATACTAAATGTCAACTTTATAAATTAATATAGATAGGCATAGCTGTTTTACTTTTATTAAAGATCAGATTATTAATTTTTTTAACTTTGGTTTAAGATCCTTCTAATTTAGCTCTTCTCTCTATCCAGTTTTTGTTTTTTCTCTTCAATTTTCTTTATGTTTTTTTATGAGATCATCTCCAATGATAGTTTTTTTAAAGCTTTTTACTATTTGAAAAAGCTTACCATTGGAGAAGAAGACTAAACACTTATTTTCCCTAACCTTTTATTTGTCTTTTAAGCTCTGTCACATTTGATATTTACATTTTCTAGCTCTTTATTTATACACCAACTATATTTAGATATTAGATTTATTTTAGGCTTTGTATTTAGTTAATTAATTTATTTAATAAACAAAATAAAAATTATGCAGTTACATAATCTTTTATCGTTTTTTCATTATAATGTTGAATAATGTTTTTTTTTAAAAATTTTAATAATAATTTCATGTAAGGGTTTTTTTCTCCGAAAATACTACATATGTTGGTAAAATTATAAATTGTACGAGTGGATTTAATAGAACATTTAAGATAGAGAAAAAGATAATTTGATTAACTTTTGAGAAAAGCTTTATAACAGGTTCACCATTGAAAAGGTTCTTTGATAAAAGTTTTTTGCCAAATAGAAATATAAAAATTAATAATATGACAGAAGTCAAAATACTTTTGTTTAATCGCTGAGATGCATTATATTTCTAAGATGTTAATGGGCTTATATGCTTTCATAAATTCCAAATTCCAAAATATCGAAACTTTAGATATGTCTGCAGCATGCAAGACTCTGATTTTTATCATTCTGTTCTGTTGAGTCACATTGACTTGTTAACCAAATCATGGGAATGGATGTGTGCAGGTTCACTGTGGGAGTGGAAGAGTGTTAACTAAACTTTTGCTTTTTTTTGGGGGGGGAGGGGGATAGGAGGTTAGAGGCGGATTCAGGTTGGTTGGGATTTGATTGGGAGGGGGTCCATCGAGATCGGTGGGTTTAGGAAGAGTCTAGATGATGATGAGACACCTGGCAGCTATTGGTGAAACGTATGCCCAAACTGCCCTTGAAGATGCTGCTTGGAACCTGTGGCATGTAAATCCTTCTCAGGCCAGCACATCTACATCCACTTCTTCTTCAAACAATCCAAATCCTTTCACAAGTATTGTAAGACACCAAGGAGGACACACTACTCGGGGTGGGGGTGGGTCCCTTATCAGAACCATGCCAACTCCACTTGTCCCGGATGTTGACTTGTCAAACATAATCGCCATGGTTGAAACCGTTCGTGAAGTCCTTCCCCATGTCCCTGATGAATTAATATTACAGGTACCTATCCTCTCTCTCTCTCTCTCAATTCCTTTTTATTTAATTTTTTGAATTGGACATGGACATGAACATGATACGATAAAAAGAAAGGCAAGGGTTAGTAGTCATTGGTCATTGGAGGGAGGTTGTGTGCTGACGTCAGCCACCCAACCACACACAGTGTCGTGTAATATTTGAGAGCTATAGTTTTTTGTATATAGGAAAAAATAAATTAGACAAAAATATTGATCAAACTATAGCCCCCCTCCCTCCACCTGATTGAGCTTTTAGGGAAAAATGAAAAACAAATTTGTTATGTATTATTGATTGAGATTATGTATGTGACTGATTAACTGGTTTGCGTTTCTTGTTTTGTATTAATAATTAATTTAATGAAAGATCTATTATGTGGGACAGGGATAGGGACATGGAGGTGGTCAAGTGAGACCTGTTGCTTTTATTGGGGTCTAGTGCTTATATTTGGGACTGGATAATAAGTAGGAAAATGGTTGTTTATACCATATATCTTCAACCCATCTAGCTTCGAATGGCAGAAGTATGCTTCCAATTATTTTATTTTCTTTTTCCAAATTCATGAATCTATATTATAAGATATGATGATTGGGATGTGATGTCAACAGAGCTGTGGAAGATTTTGATGATTGGATTAATTGGCTATGTATAAAGGTGGAGTTGGAGTGAAAGGAGACAATAGTTGGGAATCTTGGCGGGATGAAGAACAGGCACATATCCAGAAAATCAGAGGGCGTGTACTTGAAACTATATTATGCTCGAGGTTCTTCATATTTCAATACGGGATAGTCTACAAGCTCCAGCTCACTGAAATCATACATCATTATTGGTACTTACAATTTTTATTTATTTCACTTTTTTTTCTATGTGAAAATATACTGACAAAAAATACATTACATGACATGATATGTTAGATGAAATTGTGATGATATACTGTCTAGTTCATAGGATCAAGGATTGTCTATTAGCCTGAGGTATTATCTGCAACGAACATTGATTCTTCTAATAATTAGATTTGTATATTAGTTTTTTGACTTTTATTTGATCAGGTCACAAGAATTATCGGAGCAGGGTTTTCATTAGTCTTAAAGAATTATGAAAGGCAAGATGCAACTCTACTTAGTTGGAATTTGATGTTTATCATATTTGTGTATATCTTTTTAGTTTGTATAGCATTACATTGCCGAAAATGTCCCTTAATAGCAATGTAGCAAGCTTGCTGTTAACATCTTCGTTAGAAATACAAACACATATCGAAAACCATTTTCTTTCACTGTTGCATTTAAAACCTATATTTCAGTTTCAGATATCAGGTATTAAGTTTTTTTTGTTCTTTTCCATGTATATATTACATATAATCATGTTAGAATTTGGTTTATATTAGTTCCTATCAAATGGACTTAATATCATTTTTTTATTATTGCATCATCTTAGTTGTTCCCAACAGAATGGTGTAGCTGTCTTTTCAAAAAAGATTTCATTCTCTTGTTTCAGTGAAATCTGTGTAGAAGGATTGAAGACGTTGAATTAAGCACAAGTACAACCAACAATCAAGATTCTTATTTCAGATCAGATCACAAATTCACAATATATTTATGTGTCTTTGTTATACATATAGATAAGGAAGGTAGATCTGACTTGGGACATGGAGGCTGATGAAGGAGACAATTACACACATATTCCAGTAAGAAATAGAGTTGGATGATTATTTGATAGTTTTATAGGAATATATAACCCATGTTAGCAATGTATTATTTTTGTTTAACATTTGAATGATTATTTGTATGACATTTTATAATTTGTGCAATTTATTTATTTTTTGTGTATGAAATTTTATTTTATATTATGTAGTGGATTGTATTTTTTGTATATGGTATTTTATTTCTATTATGATACATTAAATGAAAATTTAATTTAAAATCTATAAATAATATTTTTAAACATTTAAAATTATGATACGCAAAAATGTGTGTCATCTTCATTTATGACATGGCCTTTCTTGACAGGGGCTTTCTTGATACGCATTGTGTGTCATTAACACGCGCGTCGTAAGGTTATGACACGCGAATGCGGGTCGTCTTATTATGACAGGGCCTTCCTTGTACGCATTGCGTGTCGTAAACGTGCGTTGTAAATGAGCGTCATAAATGCGCGTCGTCTATAGATGATGCGCAAAAGCGCGTCGTCTCTCTTTATGACAGGGCCTTCCTTGACGCGCATTTGCGCGTCGTCTGAGCCTTTTACGACGCGCAATGTGCGTCGTAAAATGCTGTTTTTCTAGTAGTGGTTATGAACTTTACGTGCATGCATGGGAGTATAAGCTTAATGGACCCAAAAATGAGGTCTAAAGGTGCATGTGGCTCTCAATGGCTACAAAGTTGGTCACTTTAGGTCATATAGTCCCCTAAGGACCCTGGATCTGGAGTCTTAACCTCCAACCATGCTTGCACTCATTATTGGTCACCAAAATGGTTCCAAAAATACCTAATTCACTCCAAAAAGGGATCTAGAACATGAATGAACAAGGTATAAGCTTATACCTCTGAGGAACTGTAGATGCTGCACAAACTCGAAATCTCTTGGTTTCCTATTGGCTCCTCAAGCTTTTCCTTCTTTCTTGTGATCACAAACCACCAAAATCACCAAAAAGGGACTTAGTTATCACAAATGACTAGAGTTTCAGTATGAGGTGTTCTGGAGCATAAGGGACGATGGAGGCTGCATTAAGACATTTAATAGGGTGCAATCCCTCATATTTAGGGTTTTGTCCAAACAACGCCCACTCGTCGAGTCGGTTTGCCAACTCGTCATAATTACTTGAATGAAAATACATACCATGAACCAGGTGCTACAATGATGAATCAAGGTGTCAGATTTCACATTGCGCACTATGCACTACGCGTGGGTGCACGTGATGATATTTTATAAACTATGAAAACTCCTAATTCTTGCATTTGAACTCTGTTTTCAACGACTCTTATATATCCATGTAGGTATCAACGTATACTACAACTTTCCTTTTGTTTTTTTGGCTAATACTGACTTTTGTTA